TATATATATATATATATATATATATAAAGGAGCTCTGGTAGTGTAGTGCCTAAGGCACTTGACTGCTAACCAGAGGCTGGAGGTTCAAACACATAACAACAACAACAAATATATATGTATGTGTGTATATATATATGTATGGTTTAAATACAGAACATATAAGACAACTGCCTGCTCTATCAAACAACAATACAATGAATGAAATGTCTATTTCTATTTCTCATTAAAAGTAATGATCTCTGGCTGATCCAATTCAGCATCATGCCATTTAATTTTTATTGACCATCATGCCATTCTGTCCTGTTTTCTAAACACTAGATCATAGACAGAATAACCCCCGAGAATCTGATCGAGTGGACTAGCCCAGGATACATGGAAAAGAGGAACGTGAGCGTGCACTTACCCCGGTTTGAAGTGGAGGAGAGTTACAATCTTGAAGATGCCCTTTGCACCATGGGCTTAGCGGACGCCTTCAGTGAGCACCAGGCCGACTATTCGGGAATGTCTGCCAGCTCCAGGCTGTCCACTCAGAAATTCCTGCACAGGTCCTTCATGGTGGTGACAGAGGAAGGCACCGAGGCTGCGGCTGCCACCGGCATGGGCTTCAACATCGCCTCGGTCTCCGATTACGAAGACTTCCACTGCCATCATCCTTTCCTCTTCTTCATCAGGCACAATGAGTCCAACAGCATACTTTTCTTTGGCCAGTTTTCGTCTCCATAGGACTGCTATTGCCATGACATTGAGGGTCTTGGAACACCTCCCCATTGGAGTATTTGTAGGATGGTAGACATAGCCAGTTCTGTACGAATTTGCTTAGCTTGCTTGTATTCCAATCTTGCAGTCAAAATTGATCATTTAATGATTGGAGTAGTACGTGGGAGTGCCTGGGTGGCGTGAATGACTAAACCCTCATCTACTAGCAGAAGGGTGGGCTGTTTGAACCCTTCCAGAAGCTTCCGAAGAAAGGCCTGGCAATCTGCTTCCAAAAGAAGAACCCTAGGCATTTGACTGCTAACCAGAAGGCTGGTGGTTCAAACCCACCAGCCACTCCTTGGAAGGAAGATGGGGCAATGTACTTCTGTAGTGATACCGCCTTGGAAACCCAAGGAGGGGTTGCTATAAGTCGGGTCTGACATGATGGCACATAACAACAACAACATGGAACACAGGTCCACTTTGCACATACAGGGTTGCTAAATCAGAATTGAGTCCATGGCAATTAACAATAACAATAGTGTGTGTGTGTGTGTTTACAATGTTCCTTCAAAGTGAAATGTCCTTTTGTTGGACATGTGTGAAGTGAGCCAAATCAAATAATGTATCTGGCTCATTAAAAATCTTCCCTTGAATTTTTAGAAAGTAAATCAATGTCTCCCTGTAGTTTTGTGCAAGTCTCTGCAGTAAAGAGGATTGCCCAACCTTCCTTCTGAGGAGTGGCTGGTGGGTTTGAACTGCCAGCCTTCTGGTTAGCAGTCAAATGCCTTAGGCACTATGCCACCAGAGCTCCTAGTAAAGACAATAGGGATTTCTGGGGTCCCTCCAGTTCTGATATTTTGGGATAGTATAATATACAAGGAGCTCTAGTGACATATTGGCTAAAATCTAGGCTTCTAACCAAAGGTTGGTGGATCAAACCCACCAGCCACTCCATGGGAGAAAGATGAGGCAGTCTGCTTCCGTAAAGATTACAGCCTTGCAACCCCTCTGGTGCAGTTTTCTGTCCTGCTAGGTCTCTATCAATTGGTATTGACTTGATAGCAATGGATTTTGTTTTTGGTTTATAATACACAAGTAAAATCAAACAATAATTCACCTAATTCATGTGTTACTTTCTTATTCCTAGCAGATATTGTGGTCAACTGCACACAGAAAATAGAATTTAGAAACAATTTAGCAAAACATAAATTAAAATTTAAGAGATAAAACAAAACAGTCTATCAGGCAGGAGGGATCTCCGTTCTTCATACTAATGTTCAAAAGACAAAGCAAAATTTAAATAAGTTATATCAGACAGAAGATTCCCGTATTTTCATTCTGCATTCCAATTGGATATAGGCATATTTCATTTTATTGCACTGTTTTATTGTGCTTCGGAGACTGAGGTTTTTACAAATTGAAGATTTGTGGCAACCCTATGTCAGGCAGGTCTATCAGCGCCATTTTTCAACAGTGCGTGCAAACTTCGCTCTCTGAGTCACATTTAGGTAATTCTCACAATATTTCAAACTTTTTAATAATGTTATTACACACTTAATAGATTATAATAGAGTGTGTACATTTATATGCATCGTGAAACCAAAGAATTCATGTGACCTGCTTTATTGTGATATTGATGTGGTCTGGAACCAAATACAGTCTCTCTGACTTGTGCTTGTATATCATTCATCGTCAGTTACATGAACATTTCAATCATTGTGAAACAAATAGGGTATTTGAGAAGTTAAATGTGGTAGCCAGTCAACGTTCCTACCCTATCACTTTTGTAGGCTTTCGGAAGTCAATATTTAGGGCAACTTTTAGGAGAGTAAACGCTTTCTTTCCTTTTTCCCATTCCTGTATTATGGGTATTTTGTGAGTGGGGTGTGGGTTTTACCTACTCATAGTGTCTCAGAGATTTTCTGAATCTGTTCCTGACACTCCTTATGGGGGTGTCTCACTTTTAGTTTTTCGCTTTGTAACAAATCTACTTCTGTTCAAATCTGCCCTTGTGTCTTTCAGGAGTGTTTCATCCCCTTTCTCAGGTAGTTTCTGGACCCTTCTCAGTAAGCTTATACATAGGCATTTTGTTTTCTTTTGCTGTCACAAATGGCATCTTCTGTTTCATTATTGTTCTGGTTACCTCGTGCTGCCCTGACAAGAATATATACCACAAATGGGAGGCCTTAACAAACAGGAGTTTATTCTTACAATTTGGAGGCTTTAAGTCCAAGTTCAAAGTGCCAAGCTCTAGGGGTTGGGTGAAAACCCCTCAGCCTTGGGCTTCAGCTCTGCCTCCAGCTCCCGGCCCACTGAAGCTAGATGCTTTTCTTCACTCAGATAGCTGCTGGCTGCTGAGGCTGCCACGCCCAGGGTTGACAAGTAAAAAGGCACAGGCCCAATGTTACCAAACCTCATGGCCGGTCATTAATTCAAGTCCATTGTAAGTCCCAAAGTTGGCAGAGCAAGGCAGGCTGCTGAGCAACAACATGGCTACATGCAGGGTCCAAGCATACCATAGGCTAGACACCGTTCCCAAGGCGTCTCCTTAAATGCAGGATGCAGACCACATCCCAAAGGCAGCTACTTGTGATAGATCCCACCATGGAGTTGATTGCCAGTCTCCTCATGGGGAATAATTATCACCAGTTGCCCAGCCACTCAACCAGACCCAGCCAAGTTGACACACAATATAATCACTACAATTATACTTTCTAACTCTTGTTTGGTTTGCTGTATGAAGATCACTAATGTTGGGCAATCCTACTTCCGTAGTGATACTGTCTCGGAAACCCAAGGAGGGCTCGCTATGAGTCAGGGCTGACTTGAGGGCACATAACAACAACAACAACAACAATGTTGCGTATTAGTTTTATAATCTGTTACCTTGAGAGACTCCTTATTTCTTGTAAGAGGTCCTCCCCCATTGGTTATATTGGGCTTTCCAGATATCTAAGAATATTATTTATAATTTTTGAGTTGATATTTCTTTCTTTTTCTTCAATTCTTATGCCCCCATTTCCTTTCTCTTATCCGATTGCCTGGCTAATACTTCTAATTCTATGTTAAATAGTGGAGATAGGGGGTACCCTATTCTACATTTTGAATTCATGGAAATAGCTCCCCTATTTCCTCATACTAAAGATGCTGGCTTTTGGGATGAGGCATATAAATATTTTCTTAAGTTTTGAAAATATCAAACAACTCCTGACACATGAGTGTTTTTAATATTAATGGGATTTGATTTTTTTTTCAAATGCATCTACAGTGATGCATGTCTTTCATTAATATGATACATTGTTATATTTGATTCATTTTTAAGTCTACTTAGTGTCTAATTATTTTGAACATACAGATTGCCATTAAGTCAAAAATTTTCCCTTCAAAATAAATTAGCCTAAGATTCTGCTTATATTTTCACAGAGTTCCTATTTGTTATTTTTCTCAGGCTTTTCTGACATTTTTGTTCTAAACACTTATAATCAGTGTTCTAGAATTTTCCAGCAATGAATTGATTCTGAAAGCAGAGATTGAATTCATGCATATAGCCACTGTTCAAGCATTTTTGGAAGGTATTTCTTTAGCAATTGCTTTGTTGATTGGTACTCCATTTCTTTGAAAGGGTTTACAATGGCAAAAACTTTTTTTTTTTTTAAATTGATCTTTCCTTAGAGAACCTAAGAACAATTTTTTCTAGTTCATAGTATCATTTCATTTTTCAATCTAAAATAATTTTCACTTTTCATCATTTACTTTCAGAAAGTGAAATGATTTAAAGAATTTGCTCCTATTGAGCATATTAAAAATGCTCTACATTGGGATCTAAGTAAATCTCCGAGGAGTTCCCAAACGCTTTGGAACAATAAGATCAACTTTGAAGTGATCAGTTCTCATTTGTCATGATCAGACGGTGCTCTTGTTTAGATCTCAGGGGGCAGTAGAGGGAAACGGAAAGCAGAGGGATTAAAAGGTGCTTCCTCTGTTTGCTTCCTGTTCCTGTCAGCCTCACCCCAACAAGTCTTCTTCACTCCTGGCGGCATGGATAGTGACTTTTATCTGGCTCCCATTTTCATCATGGCCTCTCAGATACATCTGTGGCAGCTACGCAGTGCCTTCTTCTCCGGAATCTGAGTTCCACCTCTACAGAGTGCATTTTCACTTTGTTCCCTCAGCCCCAAGGTAGCAATTCCTCTGTGCCTATTCTCTTCATGTGCTTCTGGCTTCCCTAATGGGAACTCTGGTGGCATAGCGCCTAAGGCATTTGACTGCTAACCAGAAGGTTGGTGGTTCAAACCCACCAGCCACTCTGCAGAAAGAAGGTTGGGCAATCTACTTCCGTAGTGATATTTCCTCGGAAACCAAAGAAAGGGTCACTATGAGTTGGAACTGACTCAACAGCAGTGAGTTTGGTTTTTTTTTTTGGTTGGCTTCCCTAACATTTATTTATTTATATTGTGATTTGGGTAAAACTTTACAGAGCAAATATACTTTCCATGCAGCAGTTCACATACACTTTGTCTCATGACATTGACCACAATTTACCACAATGCAACATCTCCCCTCCTACTTCCTCCCGATAGTTACCTCTGTGTTCATCCCTCCATACATTCCTGCCTCCTGAACTGTCTCCCTGTGCCTAAGCAGCCCTTGTTTCTCCCATGATTGTTCTCTCCAAGGAGTGTATCTACCTCAGGTAAATGTTCAACTCATAGGCCTGTCTATTGTTTGGCTGGAAACTACAGATGTGGGTTCAATTCCAGACCTGAAGGGCAGCTAGGGGCATAGTCTCACTGGTTGCACCAGGCTCTATTGGACCAGCAAACCTGGTCCCTCCTTTTTTTTTTTTCCAAATGATTTTAAGTTTTGTACCACATTGTACTCCCTCTCTATCCAGGATCTCCTATGTAGATCCTCTTCCAAGTGGTTGACAGTAGTAGCTGGGCACCATCTAGCTCTTCTGGTCTCAGTTGTATAGGCTGCAGATTGGATGGTGTACCAGTTGCTAGGACTAATTGTTTTCATGA